TTTGTTTATTATAACTTTTTTATAAAGCCAGGTTTATTTCAATAATTCAATTGTAATCGAACTCAAGGCCTTTACCCACATAATGAAAATACCAAAGAGCAAATTCTTGTAAAAAAATCGTGTGTTCACGTAATATTTGCAACATTGCTAAATTGTAGTAAGATGACAAAACAAATTGAACCTTGTGCTCTAGGTAATAAATAATACAATGTTTTATTTTTAATTAAAGTACGGTTTGAAGAAGACAAGTGTGTATTTAGAATCGGTGAGTATGTATGAGTTATGAAAGTGGATGAAGTAAAAGATTCTAGCATGTCTCTTCATTCAAAGTCTTACCTCTACCCAATTTTTTTTTTGTCATTCGGGTTTCTCCGCGTGGAGGTGGTAGTTAATTGCTAGCAAGGGGGTTGTTAGGTCCCAATAATAACAATTCCTTTTTCGCCTGATTATGGCGTTATGTACCTATCTGAATTTCAAAATTTCAATGCCATGTCCCTCCAACCAAAATACTTCACGGCTGGGTTTTTTATACAACTTAGAATGGCAAACAAGCTGACGGCCCACCTGATGGAAAGTGATAACCGTCGCCTATAGACATGAGCAGTACCATGGACATAACAGAGTATACTACTTCGCCCATGATACCCCCCATGCGTTGCCATTCCTGAGGACTTAGGTGTTATTCCTTTGTACCCAGTAACTTTACGCCATATCCCACCCTTCAAACCGAAACACAGCCATGCAAACACAACTGCTTCACGGTTGAAACACGAATGGGACAGAGGTACCCAAGCAATCGACTTTTGTACAAAGTCTCCCTCTGCTATATATTACCCATTCTTAGATGCCTCGCCAGTGTATACCGAACGCAAACGGAGTTACCATCCCAATCACCAATATCACTCATGAAAAAAAAGCTAACTTATATAAACAGAAATACAAGTGGGACAAAAGTACCCAAGCAAATTATGCTCTAGTATATTACCATGCTCACTGCAGCCCGCCCGCCGTCTGTTATCTTATTTAGTGTAGTAAATATAATAAGTCATAATATAAACGTAGCTAACGTAACTAATATAAACGAATTAGCTGTCAAAAGCTTAATATAACAAACCACTAGATCAAATGATGGCGCTCATTACACAATTAACAGAGTTATTTACAAACAGTTGTTATTTAATACGAGTCCCCTAAGTTACAAAGATTTATAGCCTCTCCTATTACGGCGCACACGCGATTATGCACTCTATTGCGACGTATTAGAGCACAACCCGTTGGATTAATTAGTCAAATGATTAACCAATTTGTGTTGACCTTTGGTTAGTAGCAAAAAGTAACAAAGCGAGGTATCAATTTAAATTACACACACTGATGCTAGATGGAAATTTATAGATGTTGATAGAAACATTTATACTAATTTGTTTTATTTAAAGCAGCTATTTGCTTATTGTAAATATAAATTATATTGTTTAAATATTTACACGTTAATTCAGTTGTAAATTACTGTGTAATGGTAAGAAATGTCAATACAATGATTTATCAGTAATAAGGTTATGTTCGATAAAAAAAAAATATTCGATTGTGACAAATCCAGTTATTTTAATTTAAAAACTAAACAACTGAACTGAAATTAAAATAATAAAATTTCTTTCTGACTAATTTGTAAGTATATCCTTTCGGATAAAAAAAGAATTTTCTAAATTGATTTATAACTGCAACATCCATTAAACATTTTAGATTTTTTTTTATTTGTTCATTCCTGTATTTGTTGCTCCATGCGCTATTTTTGATAAAAAAATATTATTTTTTCTCATCTTTCTAAATGGCAACCCTAATATGAACCATAAATTAAAGAAATCTTAAAAAAAATATAAATACATTCTTTTGACGTGCAAACGAAACATCGGAAATCCTCTAGACACTTCTTTTTAAATTCCGTGCTGAGGATATTGGCGGGAAATTATCGACATCCGACGCTGTTCTTCCTCCCTGAAGGTCGAGTATCCGTTGCGGGAGTTTCCCAAATATGTCTCGATTTCTAATGGCTTTCCCGCCATTTCGAGGCCATTTTATTGTTGTTGTTGTTTTTTTTTTTGTCTTGGAATGATTAGATTTTTATTTTAATATTTTCTACAAGTATTTTTACTAATACTAAAAATACTAATGTTATATGAAAACACTAGGTGTCATGTCGTATAGGGAGGACAAAGATATGGTCTGGAATAGTGCTGGCTGGAAGAGAACACATGAAATAGTTGCTCTGACAAGAATTAAATCCTAAATAAAAAAAAATAATTGTTATAAAGTTACTGATCGTGTCCCACAAAAAAAAAAAAACCGAATTAAATTGTGACAAAATCAATTATGGGTCTGAAATTTAACCTACTGAACCAATTTCATTAAAATTTCTATGGAACTAACCTGAAAGTATATTCTTTCAGATAATAAAAGATTTTTTCAAATCGGTTTACAACTGACGGAGATGTGAGGCAACAAACGTAAAATAATACAACCGAATTGAAAATCTTCTTTTTGAGCCAATTGTATGTGTTGGTATGTCCTCCTCCTTCTAAACACTGTAAAATATCAAATTTCATGACAATTGATTGAGCCGTTAAAGTGTTAAGAGGTAACGAATAAACTTTCACATAAATAATGATGTAAACCTATGACTATACCACAAGGCAAAACTAGTCAGGTATTATGTAAAAAAATTGAGGAATAGCACAAGTGTTTTTGCAATTATTGCTAAAAATATTATATAAATGTTAACAAGGAAGACAGATTCAAAAGGTAAGCTTTTAAATTTACTAGTAGCAAGAAAGTTCAATAGATTTAAAATCTGTATAAAATAATTTCTTTGCCTACAATTCTGCAATGTTTCAATGAAATAAAAAAAAAAATAAAGAAAAATACTCTTTCCCCGCATTCGATATTCAAACTCGACTTACAACTTCAATCGTCATCAAAGTTTCATATCGCGAGCCGTTAGGTGGTCGTCTAAAAAATTCACAACGGGCTAAATTGTAGTGGCAGAGGAGACATACTTAAATATTAATCGTACAATATCGTACTGAATACGGTAGACAGTGTTTTGACGTCGATACTAGCCCCGTTTACACGTTACGATCGTTTTGTAAAAAAAGAAATCCACAAATAAACCCACTATAAATGTGTTAAAACCAGCTACTTTGATTTAAAAACTAAACTACTATAAAAATTTTGATAAAATTTCTACAGTACCAATCTGTAAGTATATCCTTTTAGATAAAGAAAGAATTTTCCAAATCGGTTTACAACTGACGGAGTTATGAGGTAACAAACATAAATAATACAAACGAATTGAGAACCACCTTTTTGAAGTCGGTTAAAAAACTAAGTACTTACCTACTTAAAGAATGAGTAAAAATAATAAATAATGCTATTACAAAAGTCGTTTAATAGTCGTATCGTGTAAACGACACCCACATTCACGAAATAAAGGCTCATTAATGAAATATTAAGGAAAAAGTTTTTTCCATTTTTTTTTCCAACTATAATCTCTTCGCAATATAACCATAAGTTTGACGCCTCCGTAATACAACTGGCTATTTGTAATTTCCAACGATCATAACACCTCTCAGCGATAATGTTAGGTTAGAAAAAAATATAGTAAAAAAAAAAATGAAAAAAACCTTAAGTACGTACTTATCATGTAAGTAATTGGCGTGTTAGACAAATAATAGGATAATCAAGTATTTGGAAGTGTGGAAAGGTTAATATTATAAAAATGTCCACTTTAATAGCGTTGTTTGACGTATTTTTTTAATATTTCCATAGTAAAAGTGACCTAGATTAAAATTATAGTTAGTTCATAATTTTTGTTCAATTCCATATGTCAGGAACTGGTTTCCTAAGTAAAAGAGCTTAAAGAAAATATAATATCCAATTTTATTTTTTTTAATTAGAATATTTTACGTTTAATATGACATACTAGTATTTACACGCGACTTCGTCTTTGTAACCAAGATATGTTCTCTGACTGGGATATCTCAAATCATTATCTTTATAACAGACTAACTGTTTCTAACATAAGCCTTCCTTTTAGGGGGTTTTGCCAGTTACCACGCTTGGCAGACGAATTGGCAACCGCAGTTATTGGTTTTGGAGATGTTTTAAGAGGGATGTTGCTGATCATTTTTCACCTTCCTTAGTCGCCTTTTAGGACATCCACGGAAAAGGAGGGGGTGGCCTATTCTATGCTGGGACCACACAGCCAATATTTCAAATGATCTGGATAAAATGTAACCTATATCTTTTTCTATCCCATACAGTAAGTACGTGTATAATATTTATTATGTGGAAATTTCGTAGTAATCGGTTAAACCCATAGATTATATAGATAGAGCATGGAGTAACGAAAACTGTTCAACTTTTTGTCAGCTAATTGTCAAATTGACTCGTTTTTTATAATAAAAAGATCCACAAAATATAAGACAAAATAAATATAGAAGTTATAAAGGAATCACTCATAACTATTTATCACGCAAAATTATATGAAAAAGTTGACCCGATACTCTATCTATATAATCTAATGTTAAACTATTAAGACGCTAAAAGATAACAATAATTTACGAGAGAGAGACTTTGTACAAAATTCGTTTGCATGGGTACCTCTGTCCCATTCATATTTCAATCGTGAAGCAGTTGCATTTACATGTCTGTGTTTCGGTTTGAAGGGTGGGATATGGCAGTGAATTTACAGGGTATAGAGGAATAACACCTGAGTCCTCAGGAATGGCAACGCATGGGGGGTATCATGGGCGAAACAGTATACTGTGTTATGTCCATGGTACTGCTCATGTCTATAGGCGACGGTTACCACGTTCCATCAGGTGGGCTGTCAGCTTGTTTGCCATTCTAAGTTGTATAAAAAAAAAAAACAATAACAAACTCACTTTCACATTTTTATATTAATACGGATAAAGATATATTAATTGGATTGAGTTATTAACACTTACCGTCTTTAGGCGGACTTGCACATTGCGGAGCATACGAACTTAAGTGGTACCCATAGGTGTTCTGATGCATAGGAGGGAAAGGATACCCTAACGATCTTGGGCTCGGGAACCCGGAGGCCTCATGGGGATTCTGTTGGCCCCCAGGACTCCCAAAATGATGGGGATGCTGATACCCCCCCTTAAAAGGACCATAACCATGCTGCTGGAGCTCTATAAAAGCAGACTTTGATGATACATTGGTCGGTGTTGAGTTTGCTGAATTAGATATATCGTGGGGGGTTTGTGACCCCCCTAAATGGTGATGCTGGTGGTCTAAAGCGTCCTGGGTGGTCATAGCAGGTTGGGGGGTCGATGGGCCCCCCCCGTCCGAGGACTGGGGAGGCCCGAAGGGATCTGAGAAACTCAGTGTGCTGGGTTTGTTGTTTGGGGATTGAATTCGGGTAATTTTGAGGGATTTATGCTCCTTGTTTGATATTTCGCCGCTTGTCCAGCCTGAAACAAAAAAAAAACAATATTATTATTTTTAAGTTTTTATAACTTTTGTTACTGGCTGGAAAAATAAATATCTTTATGTTAGACACTTTAAGAAGTAGATAGATATTACAAAGTGTATGATTTAAGAAGTAGTATGATTATAAGTCTTTGTCTCATACATATTCATCAATGTAGAGACTCAAAGACTTTTCATTAAATATTTGTGATGTAGTTTTGGTTTACGCATCATTTTTAGAAAATGCTTTTAAATATAACGAAATCTAGGCCACAACTCCAAATTCAAATAAAAATTATAAATCGTAGACAACTTAACTAACACAGATAAAACAAAAATATTTTCGAGAACACACAACGTTTTCGATCGGGCGTAACGGTTTTTAAAAACTTTTTCTAAAAGCCCGACTCCCACGAGGTCAATCGAGGTTATTCTGGGTTTTCTTAACAATTTAGTTGCGACATGCTCAATTGAACCAATGAAGCGGACACACGATAACATACCCCGATACGGCTGTATAAGGAAATTCCTGATGATTTGCCATCTGACTTGATAAAATACTGGTTTCAATCAGAGCAAGGTTATTAGCTGCGAAATGGTGTTTGCTAATGAGGTTCTTCTCCTGCTCAGTGATTATCACTCCCTGTCTATCTATTATAATGATATAATTATAAAAAAAAAAAATATGTATTTATATTTGATTTTACCAAAAAGGATAGTTTTGGTTTTTGCTGTGGACCAATTTATAAGCATTTTTATTCTTTCTGTGGCGATGGAGTCTTTTCTTATCAACCCAATTAATATTATAAATGCAAAAATTTGTAAGGATTAATGGATGATGTTTATTACTCTTTCACGCAAAAACTACTGAACGGATTTGAATGGAATTTGGTATATAGGTCGGTATCCTGACTTATACCTATACAACCAGTAAACTTTGTACAAAAGTCGTTTGCTTGGGCACTTCTGCTCTGCCCTGTACTTTCGCTGCTAATTCCTATCAGCGATAGAAATTTTCAGCGAACTATAAAAAAGGGTAACCACAAAAAACGGAATATTTGCAGTGTTTTTTCTACCTGAAAAAAGGCAGTCTGTTGTCAGTAATAATAATCCTAACTTAGCACATAGAATATTTAATATATTCGCTGCGAGGTTCAGGCTAGCAAGAAATAACATAATGTTTCACTGCTCATTTTTATCCGAATGCAAAATTATTTCCAGTTTTCCTGAAGTCGATTTTATTCCGTAATTTTGTGAACAAATGTTTTACTTTTTAGTGTAAAATCCTGTTTGTATGAACCAAAACTGACAAAGGGGTTTACAATTCTACATTCTAAAATCAAATATGTGAAATATATCGTAGTCGATGGGTGTGTATTTTTCCTTTTAAATTCGGAATAGTGCGATTACGAGTCAATATTAATTTTGTCGCGATTGTTTTTTTTTTCAGTTAAATCCTGTTTGTTATGAACCAAAACTGATTTGTGGATACACAATAGAATTGTAATTGTCAATATATATTTTGTTGTTTTAAAAACAGTTTTTTTTTTTTTCAGAATGAAATCCAACTTGTATGAACCAAAACTGACATGTGAATACATAATTCTACATTCTAAATTCAAATATGCAAAACATAACATAGTCGATGGGTGTGTATTTTTTGTTTTAAATTAAGAACAATGCGGTTACGAGTCAATTTTGCCACGATTAGAATCGCTATTATTTTGCGGAGCAAAATGGGCTTGTGTTATAAAATTTTCTTGATATTGCCGTCCGACTACAAAATCCGATGTGTCTTTCATTAATAGCTACACAATGTATAAAAACATAAAAAAAAAACTAATTGGCTCTCGGCCATACATAGTTCAACATTTACAATCTCATTTCTCACAACCTCAAGAGATGTTTGGGCATTAAAACAAATGATCCGAGGAAATATAAAGGAAAAAAAAAATCACCCTTTTCGGCAAGCTCTTTGTGTTAATTACCACGTTCGCTGTCCTTTTCACACTTGTTAAACTATTTGTAAAGGGTGTCTTCTGTCTCTGTTTATACTCTCCGATCTCTCGCCGGCGCCTACAAAGGTCGGGTCAAATCGTTTTACTTTTTTTGTGTTTGTTTGTTTGTGTGCGCGTTGATTGCTCATGTCGGTAATAATAATGTTTAGGAGCAACTAATTGGTGTAAATTTTTATTGAAAATTATTGCCCGTTACGGCGTGTCATTTGTTCAGCTTGAGGAGTTAATTTTACGTGTGAATTTTGTTGAATCAATATTAAAATTAATTTTAAATTAATTATACAGATATTGTTTAGGTGAAATATCTAATAGAGTTATTTGGTTAATTGGTAACTCCGCCTGCTCTATGGTATACGCTTATGGGGCACCAGTGAGAGATAATAGGTGAAAATGAAGTCTGGCAATTTCAATTGTAGAGCCACAAAAAAAATACCGCAATAGTTTTCAATGTAATAAATAAAAAAAAAATAACTGTTGAGTCTCTTACGGGTTCTTTTCCTACTAACTTTTTTATTACTACTAATTTTACTACATTCCGAACTCAGCAATAGAATAATAAAAAATGACGACTAAAAGGGCCTTGTACACAAGTCTATTTGAGTATCTTGTAGCCTACGCTTGCTTGCGATACTAGGGGTATCACGTGCGCGTTACCAACCCTGAAGAGACCTTAAGAGCCCCATACGTTAGTTACTGGTAGCTCATTTCTTCTTCATCGTGATTAATTCAACAATAATTAACCAACGATGGTTTCAAGGGGGATGGAGATCAATCTTTAATGCATGGAATCAAATCCAGAGGGAGATTTCGTCCTCTCTCCCATTCGTGTTTCAACCGTGAAGCAGTTGTGTTCGCATGGCTGTGTTTCGGTTTGAAGGGTGGGATATGGTGTGAATTTACTGGGTACAGAGGAATAACATCTGAGTCCTTAGGAATGACAACGCATGGGGGGGGGGGGGGTATCATGGGCGAAACAGTTCTCTCTGTTATGTCCATGGTACTGCTCATGTCTATAGGCGACAGTTACCACTTTCCATCAGGTGGGCCATCAGTTTGTTTGCTATTTTAAGTTGTATAAAAAAAAACTTTAAAAAAAATCTAATAGGGCAGTTTTCCGTTGGGAACTACGTGGATGTCAACCTGATAGAGTATATTGCTAGCAATGGAACTTATAGTCTGCATTACTAACAATCCCTTTCCCCTATTGTTTAGGTTAGGCATGGATTCCTATTAATCTATATTTACTATTATAAAAAATACCATGTATACTTCTTACAAGGGGCAAAGACTAATATTATGCCAACTTGTCCAGTCAACCATCACTGGCGCTGTCTTTAATGAGAACTTAATGGTATTTTATGGGGCACCAATTATTTATGGAGTTTTTAATATGTTCCCATGGCTCCCTCCGATTTGCTTCAGTGGTTCCACGTACGTCACTTTGTTGGCCGGCAATCGTTTGGGAACGTAAAGTGCACTTGTGAATACTATATGCTTTTAATATTATGATAAAACTTTGTTTACAAATACAGTAAGATTTATAAGATCACAGTTAAGTTGCGAAATAAATTCTTACTAATATTTTAAATGTGATAGTGAATTAGTCTATTTGCTACATTTTACCGCCTTAACCAATTATTATGAAATTTAGTTTACGTATGTACATACTCTATGGGATATATATATATATATATATATATATATATATATATATATATATATATATATATATATATATATATATATATATATATATAAATGGATATGGCGTGAATTTACTGGGTACGGAGGAATAACACCTGAGTCCTCAGGAAGGGCGACGCATGGGGGGTATCATGGGCGAAACAGTATAGTATACTCTGTTATGTCCATGGTACTGCTCATGTCTATAGGCGACGGTTACCACTTTCCATCAAGTGGGCCGTCAGCATGTTTGCCATTCTAAGTTGTATAAAAAAAAAATGATAGAATATCTTGTCATATATTAAAATAATGTCTATTTTAATATATGACAAGACTGCATGTATGACTGTATGAATCAAATAGATATTTCATTTGTAATTACAACGTTGGTACAATATTAATGGGGGAAAAAATTAAAGATCACATGACAACATTTCAAAGATATTGAACTAGTTCTTGTTCTTTGCGAAATTTAAATGAAAACGTCAAGATGACAGCTTCGAATGTTAGTTCAGGCCATAGACTACAATGCGAAGGGAAATGGCGGGAAACTAGCTCGAACGAATGGTTTTTGCGTGAGTGAGCAATTTCTCATACGGATAGTTAGTAAATGGGTGCAGTTTTAAGGTGCATAATGTTAATATGAACTTATCTAATATTTAAAAGGTTGGTTTGTAAAAAATAGCTCAGTTTTAATTAAAAATTGCATCCGTTAGTTAGCAAAAAGTTAATGTATCGTGGCTATGTTTTAGCGTTCGGTGTAGAATTAACAAAACCTTGATGTTATGTTAATATACTAATTTTAATTGCGTTGCATCTATTTCTATCAGAACATAGTGTCAATCTATATAGTTAGTTACTTATTTAGGTAATACGATGAATGTTGTAAATAATAGGATAAATAAGAGCATAATTGTGGAATATAGTCAGACACGTCAATATCAAAATCTGTTCAAAATTGCCGAAGATATAAAATAAAAAAATAAAAAAAAGGAGAATGGATTTAGCTTAATAATTGTTTTTGGTGAATGTTGTACAACTGCTCGGATACCCAAAACTAATATTACGCTTGACAGAGACTCAATAGACTTTTTTTTTATAAAAAGAATATACGGAACCAGAACTATAAAGACAGATTTGCACCTAACAATTTCATAATCTCATCCGAATCCGTTTTTTCTTTTCATTCATCCGCATAATCCGATTTTCTAACAGACAGGAAAAAAAAACGTATAGTTGTGAGCTTGTTTAATAAGGCAATTAAAACGCTAATATGGTACCGAGTTCGTTTTTTATAACAA